AATTTTGGTCAAAAGCTACCCATATTATACATTTTTTTATTAAAAACTACCCAAATTTTGTTTAAGAGCTATCAAAATTATTTTTTATCCATATTTAGCTATTACATGACAAGTTTATGATAAAATATCGTTAGCAATTTGGACATTGTTTGCTTAAATGACCATATAGAAACATATTCAATACCTTAGAGACCAAAATAATGCAATTGAAACATCAGAGACCAAAATGAGACAAACCTCAAACTTTGGGGATCTCTAATGCAATTAACCCATAATTTTTTTACTTATAATGCAGATGGACTCTTGGAATTTCTACACCCAGGATATAATGCCTAACTTTAAGATTATCAAAGACTGCACTCCTTTGTAATCTTGCAATCAAAAATTCAACCCGAATAGAAAATCATAAAATATAGAAGCTTTGAATTAAGGAAAAGAAGAATGATTAAATTCTTTATACTTTGTTCTTACATTTGAACACTATTTATAGTGTTCTATGCCTCTCTTAATGAAGGAGTGAAACCCTTCAAAATCACGGCAGAAGACATCCCTTGAAAAGGTTGCAATAATATAGCCATTAGAGACTAATTTCAAATAGAATATCTGTCACATTCGAACGAGATTTTCACGTTCAAACATACTCAACTCTCAGTATTTAGATTCTGAGATTTCTGTCGAAGTACTGAGAGCTAGTTCGAGAGCAATTTTTTTTGAACGTGGGTTGCGTTCGAACAAACTAAAGTCCCAGTATCTCAATTTCTGTCAGAAACTAAGATTCTGAAAAAGTACTGGGAGCAAAGCACGTTCGTAGCATTGTTTTAGCGTTCCTTTATTTATTCTTCTTCTATATATATAAAGTTATAACTAGAAGTTCTTATTATATAGGCCTCCTCTTCAAAAGGATTCTTTGAGACTTTGAGTAAAGAATGGAAGTTCTTCCTCTATTTATAGATGAAGATGAATCCATGAAGAACTTCCAAGAATCAATGTGGGATTCATGTCTTTGCCCTCCAACTCATATACTCCAAATGTTTTGCAGAGCAGTGAAAAATTTTACTTTCCCACCAATCTGAATTTAGAAAGTACTATTATACTCTTATATATACATGTATTTAATGTTTATGTAAATTCATGCAAATGATGTTTTACTAATCAATATATCACTATTAATAAATAACTATATATATATTTACCTATATATATAACACTACCCTATTATTCACTACATGTTATCTTCGACTCGCTTTCTAACTTAAGCATTGGAGTCCCTTTGGTCGGCTCTGGTCATCGATTCACCTAGTTAGTTGTTCTTTTGTCTTCCAGGTTACTCAAGGTTTTCTCCCCACTTTGGTTACTCAAGGTTTTGTCCCCACCTTCTTTGTCCATACGAGGTGGTTACTCTTGTATGGATTTATCCCGCACAACTTACTTTCATCCAATTCCTAGTTGCTCAGTCTAGAACACTTGGCACATCACCGCATCTTGCTTGCACTCGTTGGCAATGACAAATGGCTAGCAAATTTATGGGTTGAATTTAAAAATAAGAAAAACTTAACTTAAAAATACAAACCATGCCTTGAATTTGCTAGCTTAAAAACTCAGGATCTTCTACTTAGGAAATGATGATAGAAGAAATTTCCTAAACATAACATGATATCCACCCATGCGTAGAATTCTCTCTTTTTTGTTAAACATTTGAAACTAAAATGGTAATTATAATTTCTCGTGTCAAAATCTAATACAAACTCTTGAACAATTATTTCAACAATTATTTGAAATACATTGGAGATCCATTTAAGGCTTGCATAGTATAATATGTCAATAGGTAATGGACTATTAGAGGAACTATTATGGAAAAGAAAGAAAAATGTGTGAATAAAAAAATGGATAAATTGCACCAATAGTCCCTGAGATTTATCACTTGTTGAACTTTAGCCCTTAAGCTTTTAATTTCATCAATTTAGTCTGCAAAATTCACACATTGCGCTAATATAGTCTTGTCTAAATCATTGAAGGAAAATAGCATGTGATTGACACATGACTCCATTGAAGGGTATTTATGTTCTTAAGCTTATAAAACAAAAGGTGTAATTGTAATATCATATGTAAAATAACTTAACTCAATAGAATATGATATATATATATATATATATATATATATATATATATATATATATATATATATATATATATATATATTTATTTATTTATAATATAATAAAACACATATGAAGTTGAATTTTATCCCTTATATATTTTTCCCTCAAAACCATCACATCACTCATTTTTATCACATGTTCAATCATTTAATATTTGATTAATTTATAGTTTAACATAATTTTTATTTCAGATATTATCTCTATACGATAGTATACATATACTGAGAAAATTTTATCGAATTATGTATTTTGAAAAAAATTTATTAATATTTTTAAGAAAATAATGGGTAAAAATAAATTTTGAATGGTGTAATCAAATAAATGAAAAAATAAAAATCATTGTTTAATATAGTGAAATTAATTTTTGGGAAACTCGAATTTTATGTTTTATCGTGTCTTCAAACACAAGTTATGACTAATGTATATATAATTCTGTAACATATAATCTTTGTCGCTCTTTCCACAATGACAACGTCAACGGCGACACCAACCACTACTACAATCGCCCACAAACCGCAACCAACTTTTCCCTCTCTCTCTCTCTCACACACACACACAAAGAGAGAGAGACACTGTGCAACAACCATTATCGCTCGCCCTATGCTACCTCCAGCCTCCACCACCACCAAAATGACTCCATTTTCCACCAACCATCGATCACTTTCACCCCATGTATTTCAATTTTAGATTTGATTTTAATCTCAATTTTGAAGTGGATTTTGAATTCAATTTCAATTTTAATTTAAATGTGTTGACTGGGTGTTATTCGTTGGTGTATGTATGTGTTGCTGAAGTATGGTGTGTGTGACTGGGCATAGATTTTCAATTAGTATATATGCATTGGTTTTAAATGGGTGTAGATTTTGACTGGGTGTTATGCTTTGGTGTATATATGTGTAGGTATGTGTTGCTTTACGGGGTTTGGGGTGGGGGAAAGAGAGAGAGAGAGAGAGTGTGTGGTGTTTGTGTTGGGTTTGGTGAGTGTTGTGTGCAGAGAGAGACAAGGGGGGACGATGAATAGGAAAGGAGAAGAAGAACTAGTGTGGTTGGGTTTAGGTTTAGAATTGTTCAAAGGAGGAATAAGGGTGTTTGGAAGCAATAACTTAATTACCCTTTATATCAGTCATGTGCTTGACATGTGTCATTTTTGGTAAATGATTTAGAAGGAAGTTGGAGCGAAGGACTACATTAGTGCAATGGGTGAACTCCGAGGGCCAAATTGATGAAATTAAAAGTTTAAGAACCAAAGTTCAACAAATGGTAAACGTTAGAGACTATTGGTGCAATTTACCTTAAAAATAATTACATCAGATGATATTGCTGACATCAATACCTCTTATTATTATTATACAATTAAATAATAATGGTGGTGGTGTTTCACTGATAATGACAATGACAGGTGAAGGGGTTTTTGAGAGGGGATTTGTGGGTTTGGGTTTTTGGGAGGGGGTTTTCGGAATGGGGTGGGGTTGGGGTGAAAGAGAGAGAAATAGAGAGAGAGAAAAAAAATGTCAAAGACATAGACAGAGAGCGAAACTTGGTGGAAATAGTGGAGAATGGCAATGGTCGGCAATGATGTTGCCAGGGCTGGGCCAACAACATATTTGAAAAAGCTTGGGCTTTAGGCCCCATTTTTAAGAAAGACCCCAATTTTTTAAGTACCATAATAATCCATGTGAAAAAAGTCTTATAAAAATAAAAGACCTATCAATCATTTAGGCCCTATCTTCAAAAAAAAATTTCATTTAGGCCCATATTCTAATTCAAATATTAAATATTAAAAAAAAAAAATTAAACTCAAAAGTCACATCAAATTAAAAAATTTAAAGATCAAATCATTGCAATAACATCCATTTCTCTCTCTCTCTCTCTCGATTTAACCAAAAGCCAACTGGCCCCCAAGCCGCCCAACTCTTCTCTCGATAAACCAGGACATCTTCTTTTTCTTTCTCTGTCTTTCTCTTTCAGTGCGCTCATAATAATCCTCTCACAGTGTTTATCCTATCACGGTGTAAAGCCATAGTCAAGTTTTCATTTTAACTTCTGAGTGCTTGAGATGATCTCTGATCCATTCATCGTCGACTCCATTGCAACATAAGGGACATGGTTCAAACATTGAGACCATTCATAATTTTAATTTTTTTTGTGTTCTTTGTCTTTGCTTTCTTTTTACTTTTTGGAAAAAAAAAATTATGTCTTAAATTCAAGGTTGTATTATATAGTTTAACTATACTATATATTGTGTTTATTTACGTTTATATGTGTTTGCTTGCATTTATATGTATTTGTTTAGTTGTTATATAACTATAATATATTAATAATATGACACTTAGAAGACAACCAAGTAGATACGAAAATTTAAAAAAAAAAAAATTGACCAACTAATAGAATCTTAAAAAATCTCTTGACAAATTTGTTACTAGTAACAAAAATAATGTAACAAAAAATTTTGATGAAAATTTTGAAAATGAACAAGTAGATAATGAAATAGATTATTTAAAGATATCATCTTTGAAATACCGCTTTTGAAAATATTAATACTAAACATAGAAGATCTCATTTAAAGATATCGTTTTAAGCCCCAAATTATCTTGAGCCACTCTGGACATTGCAATGTCGCTGGTTGAGAGAGAAGTAATGTGTGAGAGAGAGGGTGAAAGACAAACATATTGTTGCGGTGGGGGAGAGAGAGATTGAGAGGCTAGAAAAATAATTTATTGGAAGAATTTCAGTCGTTGAATCAATAATCTGAATGATGAAAAAACTGAAGACATTAAAAATTTAAAACCTCTTATCCCTTATTATATATAGATGTTTTATATTCAAAATAGTCAAGGTGTAATGGACATGTCTCACTATATTCGGCATAACCCAACTTATCATTTAAAACCAACCCAATTCCCTGTGTCTCTGACATTGCCATCCACAGCCCTAGAGTTTGGAACGGGCCAACTTCAGAAACAAGAGCTCTCGGAACCTGGAAAATTTTTTGATAGGCATCTCGGAACCCAGAGTCTAAAATGGTACTCTCTCTCAGATCTCTATATTTTGAATATATTTCTCTGAATTTATGGACCTGTTTCCTTTCTGATATGAATCAACAGCTTCTGAATTGTAGATTTTTTATTCGAAAAATATTTGTATAGGGTTATGGTAAGTTTGCCACTCTTCCTTCAATATGACTTCAGATTAAAAACAAGCCAATTAAGATTTCGATCGCGATTGGGACCGTCTGAAAGTTCGCTGCAGTATTGGAGAAGTGCTTTGGTTTAAGTTGAGCTTGCAACTGTGTGAGAAGATGGTTGGGAATTCACTAGTCCATGTCTCAACAAGCCCCGGCATTTTTTCTTCAAATCTGATCAGACCAACTGGAACTGGGTCTGTGAATTTTTCGCTATGTCTACCTCCTAGACCAAGAAAAAAAGTTCTTAATGTAAGAGCTTCTTCTACCGAGATAGGTCACAGCCAACAACCCACTTCCTCTTCTGAACCGAAGAACCCCCTTTCAGTTGTTTTAGATGTTCCTAAGAAAATTTGGAGGCAAACTTTGAGGCCATTGAGTGATTTTGGGTTTGGTAGGCGGAGTATTTGGGAAGGTGGGGTAGGTTTGTTTCTTGTATCTGGCACGGTTCTCCTTGCTCTTAGTTTGGTTTGGTTGAGGGGGTTTCAATTGCGGTCGAAATTCAGGAAGTATTTGGCTGTGTTTGAGTTTGCTCAGGCTTGTGGGATTTCTACTGGAACGCCTGTTAGGATTAGAGGGGTCACTGTTGGCAATGTTATCAGAGTTAATCCTTCCTTGCGAAGTATCGAAGCAGTTGTTGAGGTGAGTCCAAATGGCAAACTTATATTATTAAATGTAAAATAGTTATTGATTGCATATTGTGTGTACAATTGCTTATGTGTACAAAATTGTGCTTGTAGGTTGAAGATGACAAAATAATTATACCTCGGAACTCGTTGATTGAGGTGAACCAGTCTGGTCTTCTCATGGAAACCTTGATTGATATTACACCTCGAGATCCTATTCCAACACCTTCAGTAGGGCCTCTTGACCAAGATTGTGGTAAAGAAGGTCTAATTGTATGTGACAGGCAAAAGATAAAGGGATATCAAGGGGTGAGTTTGGATGCCTTGGTTGGGATATTCACCCGCCTAGGACGTGAAGTAGAAGAAATCGGTGTTGCCAATACCTATTCCTTAGCTGAACGAGTTTCATCTGTTATTGAAGAGGCAAGACCACTGCTTACAAAGGTGTGACTTGCCCATCTTATGCTTATTATTTATTGTTTCTATGCCCAGTAATTATTTAGTTCTCCTTATGACAAATTAGTTCTCCTTATGACATTTTACGATGGACAGCTGTGTATAGTGGTACGTCGATGGATTCTTGTAACAGTTATGATCTAGCAGTCACCAATCAATCACCAATCAATAAGGGGGGCATCTGTCAAGCTAGTTTGTTGTGACTTTCACATTTGGCTAGTATTTAGCATACATAGGATAAGTGGATAACATATTCTGATTGCAAAGTTATCAACAATATACGGAAAATTAGTGAATCAATATTAAAATTTGACTGTGGGTTTGATTTAATCAGTCGTGTATATTTTCATTTAGACTTTGGGAGGACTCATTAATGAAAGCTACAAATAGTGATTATCCTTGGTATTTGTCACCTCTTTTGAGGTTTTGGCCACGAGTTTAACAAAATGGAATTTCCTAGCTTTCACATATAATCTGTATTCATTCATTTGATAGCTACAAATAAACCATATATGCCATCAGCAGATTCATTCTGTATATTTGACAATGGGAAGTTTTTCTTCATTAATTTGAACATATTGCAATTTAGAATATGAATAAACTAGTCATAACCCGTGTCTGAAGGCACGATGAAATATAAAATTTGAATGCCCAAAAAAATTTATCCCACTATATTAAATAATATTTTTTTTCCTTCATGTCTTTGATTACATCATTTAAAATCTATGTTTATCCATTATTTTCTTAAAAATATCGACAATTTTTTTTCAAAATACATAATCCAATTTTTTTTTCTCAACATCACTATCGTGTATGAATAATATATAAAATAAAAATTATGTTATTAACTAAATTTTAAATGATTGAACATGTGATAGAATTGAGTGATGTGATATTTTTTAGGGAGAAAATATATAGTGGATAAAGATTCAACTTGCTAGCTGATTTATTATATAGATGGGAAGTTCTGAGAAATATACCTATTTATTTTATTTCTCTCTTTAAGATGCCAGGGGAGATTGTAATGAGAATTGAACAAATGATGAGAGATTTCTTGTGGGAAGGAAATGGTGAAGGGAAGAAGGATCATTTGGTAAATTGGTAGATTGTGCCAAGAACTAAAATTAAAGGTGGGTTTTCTGTGGGAGCAGTGTTTTGAAAAGCTCGTCTAGGCGAGCGCCTAGGTGAGAAGTAAAGCAAGGGTGTCTCGCATTGAACACTTCAGGCGAAATGAATGTGACTGAACCGAGAAAAAAGAGAGAAAAGTGAGCGCCTTGCACTTAAGCAAGAGGCGAGAAAGTGAACACCTTAGTCATGCGAGGCGAAGTTGTCTTACATTGTTTTATTTTTATTATGGATCGTTGGATTGGGCAATTGGAAAAAAAATTATAAGATGTCCATACACCGAATTATCCCCTTATCCCATAAATACAGCCCCAAAATCCTAATTTTGCTCAAATGATTAGACACAATTGTTGGCTTCTGCTTCTCCTTCCTCGCTGGACACAGACGACGACGACGACCGCTGGTCAGACACACAGGTTAATATCTTTCTCTTTTTCTTCTCTCTTCTATTTCTCTGGTTCTTCTTCTTTTCTGCTTCTTCTTTTCTCTCTTCTGTTTGTCCGTTTCTTCTTTGGTTCTTCTTTTCTCTTTTGGTTCTGGTTCTCTCTTTTTTTTTTTTTTTTTTTTTTGATTCTGTTTCTGTTTTTTTTTTCTATTTCTACTGTTTTGCTGATTTTGCTTCTACTATTTTGCTGTTCTGCTTCTGCTACTGCTATCCTGATAGTGCTTCTGATAGTGCTGTATTGCTTCTGCTGTTATCTCATATAGTCACTCTTTGTTTTGATGATCCAAGCTTTAACACCGGACAATATGAAATTGTTTACAACTATTATGAAATGGGATTCAGTACATGTGTTCAAGCCTGCAAATGTACATAAAAATAGATTTACAAAAACAACTGTAGTTGATATAGTTTAACAATATTAGAATTTGGAATATTATTAGTGTTTGTTTAAATTTAAATGTTTAAACTATGATTGTTATTAAGATTTGAGATATTATTAGTGTTTGTTTTAATTTAAATATTTATGATTTTACTTGTATTTAAATATTTAGTATATATAAAATTAGAATTTAGATATTTAGAAGTAAATAAACTAAAATATTCACTTTTTTTTAACTGTTCGCTTCGCTTTGGTAAAGCGTTTTGTTTTGCTTCGCTTCTCGTCTAGGCTTTAGAAGCCTTGGTCGGTTCGGTTCGCTTTATGCCTTAAATAACACTGAGTGAGAGATTTGAAGGTAAGAGCAACTCCAAGGGGAGTTGCCAAAAATGGGGTGTCAAATGCCATTTTACAACCTTGAACAGTGTTTTGGCACCCCTGAACAGTGTTTTGGCACCCCTGAACAGTGTTTCTGCTCCAATGGTAGGTGCCAAAATGGGGTGCCATTTTAATATTTTAATATTTTTTATTAAAAAATATAATTAAACTTAACGGTTATATTTTAACGGGTATAGTTTTCATAACTATCGCAATTTAACGGATATATTTTTATAGTAAAAATTTAAAATTTCAAATTTTGGCGGACAAAATTTCAAATTTCAAATTTTGTCTGCCGAAATTCAAATTTCAAATTTCAACCGTTGAAATTCAAATTTGAAAATTTAACTGCCAAAATAAAAAGAAAAAGTATAATTCGTCTATAATTATGATCATTTTTCTTATGTTTTTATCCATCTATCTTACATTCTCTCTATAAATTCAATATCTCATTTCTCTTTGACTATTTATCCTTTCATATTTTCATTCATCAAGTTACATGAATCGTTATCCTAATATTTTAGGAGAGATCCTCAATATTGAAGAAGAAGATAATGATGACTTGGATATGTTGTATGCTGTAATTAGAAGGTCAGAAGGGTCTAGTTAGGGACGGATAAGAAGGTATCGTGGTTTTGTTCCAGGTCACAAAATAGTTAATCGTGGTAGAGTTGAAGGTCACGAAAGACTTTATCGTGACTATTTTGTTACCCTTTGTGTATAAGAAGGTTTCTTTCGAAGGAGGTTCCGAATGAGTTGTCCTCTTTTTCTCTGAATTGTAAATGAGGTTGAACAACACGATCCATACTTCATCCAAACAACAGATACCGTTGGAGTTCTCGGTTTATCATCCTTTCAAAAGATAACAGCTGCTTATAAAATTATTGCTTACGGCACACCGACAGATTCTGTGGATGAATACATCAGAATTGGAGAAAGCACTGCCATACAGAGTCTGAGAAGGTTTGTGAAAGCTGTGATTGCAATGTTTGGCGACCATTACCTGAGGTCACTAAACAATATTGATATTGCTCGATTGCTACAGACGGGGGAACAACGTGGCTTTCCCGGCATGTTAGGGAGTATTGATTGCATGCATTGGAAGTGGAAAAATTGTCCTACCGTGTAGCAAGGTATATATACTGGTCATTGTCATGAACCAACAATCATTTTAGAAGCTGTGGCTTCTCAAGATCTTTGGATATGACATGCCTTCTTTGGGCTTGCTGGTTCGCTGAATGACATAAATGTTCTAGATAGGTCCCATGTGTTTGCATTATTAGCAAATGGTCATGCTCCTTCAGTCAATTATATAATTAATAGCCATGAGTATATAATGGGATATGATCTAGTTGATGGTATTTATCCAAACTGGTCGACATTTGTAAAAACAATTCCCTGTCCATAAGGTTTGAAGAAAAAATATTTTGCTAAAGCACAAGAGTCGGTAAGAAAATATGTAGAGCGGACATTTGGGATATTTCAAGCCCGTTTTACAATCGTGCGTGGACCAACAAGCTTTTGGGATGAAGAAACACTTGCAGATATTATGAAAACGTGCATAATAATGCATAATATGGTCATTGAAGATGAAGGAGATATTGGTAACAATGACTTTGATGGAAGTGATACAAATCTGTCTGTAGAAGTGTCGCATGCGTATACACCAGAATTGGAAGACTTCATGCAAACCCATTGTCAGATCATGGACAATGTTACTCATTCTCAACTGTAGTCAGATCTTATCGAGCATTTGTGGGAACGACATGACAACTAATAATTTTCTCAATTTCAATGACCATATTATGTTGTATTTTCAATTTCAATTTCAATTTCAAGTTGTACTTTCAATTCCAATTTTAATTTCAAGTTGTATTTTCAATACATAGTTTTTCATAAATAATAACATTATAATAAATAATGACTAAAAATTAAAGCCCAACTTTTTCATAATCTCTATCTTTAGGTTATTCCAATGTACTGCAAAAATTGGGTCCATGCCAGTAGTGTCAGTTTCCATGATTTTCATTTCATTCTGCCTTTCAATTTCTTGCACCTGCCTTTCTTCAATTTCTAATTGGCTACGATGTTGCTCCAATGCTATCTCCTGTTGAGCATAAATTTTGTCGTGTCGCTCAATTTTTTGTCTTTCACTTCCATTCTTTCATTCTAGTGGTGATGATCTAGTGATGCTTCAACACCAGTTTGCTTCTCTTTATTTTTAAGTTATTTTTTTGAAGTCTTTCTGCCCAATGGCCTATCGAGGTTGGGAGTGGACGAGGGTTCAGTGTCATCCCCTAAATATGGAGTTGAATAGCAAGATTTAACACGAGTTGATTCAGCAGGACTACCAGTCTCATGAGTTTTTGCTTTCTTATTGCTGGTAAGATTATCAGTCCATTTCTGCTCCATTTTCAAAGATTATCAGTCCATTTCTGCTCCATTTTCAATATATTCTAACAATGCTCGTATTGAAATAGTTTTCCAATAATCTTAGCAAACATTTCTTTTGCGTCATTGACCTGAAAAGCATATGAAATTATTCAGTCAATAGTTCAAATATCAAATCATAGTGGTGTCTAAATTAAAAGTTTATTCATTACATTATTTTACTCGGTGTGTCCACTTTATCGCAGTATTTCAATTTGACTATAAAAATCGACAAATTTG